CTGAGCTCCGCCGCGCTGAAGAAGAGCAGCGTCGCCGCGACGAGCTTGCTGCTCGCGAAGCCCGCTGCCTTGCCGACAAGGCGGAAGCAGAGGAGCGTAGCCGTCACGAGAGACTGGAGACGGGGGAGCAGCGCCGTCAGGAGAAACAAGAGGCAGAGGAGCGCGCCCGTCGTGACAAGAAAGATGCTCGGGCTCGCACTCAAGAACTGTTGCTCATTCTGGGCGCTCTAACGAAGAAAGACTGAGCCGCAAATGCTCTAGCATGACGGAGGCAGCAAGGAGATCGAAAGAGGAAGGAAGTGCATTTAGTAGCGTATCATCTTCAATACAGCCCTAAGTCGCAAGCAACAGGGTACTTAACTTTTGTTGCGAGAATTGGCAGCATGGATTCGATTGTAGCTATTAAAGTGCATGCTGCACGAACGAAGGTGCTATTACGTTGTACTAGTACGTGAAAGCTACGGACGGAGATGCAAAACACTTCATCCACACCACTACAGCGCTAGTTGCTCGGGCATCTCCATCGCGCCCGACAACGTGGTCTTGATCTCTGAAATCCCGACTGTGCGAACTCTGTAGTTCGCAAGCCGGAATAGGTTGCCGATGCGCATGCCTCGTAGGTTCGGGTCGTAGGGCAGCGGCAAGTTGAGTCTGCTGTAGACCTTTTGCACGCTACCCATTCCCCATTCTGCAGCCTGGCGGATGGAAGTGATAGCATTGTGTAGGGTGCGCGCGGTGGCGCGCAGTGAAGGCTCAATTTTCTCGATATCTCCGTCCTTCAACGGGGTGAGGATTCGCCCCGTCACGGCCGTGGAGCACGGGAAGGCGGAATCGGACACTACGCTCATACGACCATCGGGGCAGTACTGGAGGTCCGTCAGCTTGCCGCGGAACTCCAAGGACGTGTCCGAGTCGTTCCAATACCCCGGGCAGTTGTGGCGAGATCAGATAATGCAGCCATCGGCTGCAAAGCACATCGTGCCGGTCACGAAGACCGAGTGCAGCCAGCCATTGTACATGGCGTTCTGAAGGTCTGCGTTAGAAGGCTCTTGCACCTGTACAACACATTGCAAAAGCATTTAGAGTTAATGATTATACAAAGTAAAAGGCAAGTTCAAGGGCATGCATACGTACACGAAGGTTTTTACCATTTATAAACCCGAACGTGTGGGTGAGCAAAGGCTCACGCTTGTTGACCATCCGCGCCAATTCTACCTGGCACGAGGGCGAGGGCCACGAGATACGCGCAGGAGCGTAGCCGTTCAGCGCCCGCGCTAGCGCCTCTTCGGCTTTGCGCAGCGTCCTGGAGAGCGTGTTGGGCGGGACCCCAAAGGTGATGCATAGGGAGCTCTGTTCCAATGACCCGACGTAGAAGGTAAGAACGAGACCCAGCACTTTTTGTAAGTAGCGCAGCTTGGTGGGCGTCCTCTTGACGACGGCGGCGGCATGTTGTAGAAGCAGGAGAATCTACAGAGCAACTGATCAAACGCGCTACTGTACTCGTAGCAGTAGTGTTAGAATAGAGATGTAATACAGGCCTTTCAAAGAACTCACCGCGTCAGACTCGTAGCGTTCAAGAAGTTGATGTCAGTGCCGTACTCGTACAGCGTCATCCAGCCTGATGCACACGGCGCGTCGAGACACTGCGTGGTGAGGTAGTGGCGGGATCGCATGGCGACGCGCCACTCCTCCTCCAGCAGGAGTTGATGAACGTCGCGGCGGGCGTCGCGCACGCGCTCGGTGTACGCCTTGTACGCCTCGTAGAGAAGCAGGATCACGCCGTCGTCTCCGTCAATCATTGTCGCGCTTGCGCAGGAGGGAGTAGGAAGGGAAATGGCGAACTTCAAGTCTACTATTCGCGAACTTCAAGCGGATCTGGAAAGATTCAGCTCCAAAGTGTCCCGCACTAACTGTCCTATAGTGTGATCAAAGACTTGAAATGAGACTATTAGGATCGACCAGAGTTTGCTTATTAATGCATTTGTGGCGGCCAAATTTTAGGATATGGCGGCATATTTTCGTGTTAAGCCTGTCATATCAGCTGCATCTATGTCGGGTGATTTCTCTATTTTTGTTAGGCACCCATTGTTCTTGCTGGAGGAGGGCGAAGAGAAATTGAGACGAACGAGCGTTGGTTCTTGTTGTACTGTATGATGAAGAATTAAAAAGACTCGCACAGCGCTTTAGTATGCGCACTTGTCTACGATCCCATGTCCTTCATTTGGCGCCTCGAACTATCTCATGTTAAGCCCTCTAACCCCGTATTCTGTATCCTACAGAATAAGCATTGTCACAGGACATAATATCCAGCAAACTTGCCCTCTCTTTCGAACTTCGCATATGGATGTTTGTATAGCTGGTATTGTGCACATCTTCCTGTTAGATTAGCGATGGGAAGATAAACGGGGTTTATTCCGCGGTAATAGACGGACGAGTATAAACCACCAACAGGTTTGAAAATTCGGGTGGAAGCCTAAAACCGCCGCGTGTCAGCCACTCGTACTTTCCTTCATTCCGAAACTGCGCTGTTCAAGACGTCGCAATGCAAGCTTTGTTGGGGCCCGTCGAGCGCGCCCAAGTGGCCAAAGACCATGGCCGAAGACGATCATGATGAGCGCCATTGTGGTCTACAGGTAAGCGAGAGCGTGTAGTTTGCTCTGTAACATTGTACTAGTGGTATATTGATTCTACGTTGCGATGTTGATTACCAGACCTGGTGATCCGACCCAGACGACGCTATGAGCTCTCGCGTGTGGCCCGATTGGCAGATCGATTGCGGAGTCAGCGCACAACCTCATCGGTTCCTACGAAGCCGGCTACAGCCGGGTCTACCGCTGTATTGTAGCTGATGCAGTGGCTACTCAAGAGGCTACAGAAGAAGCGCTCCTCATGGTGTGGCTACACCGGAGACTACAGAAGAAGTGGTAGATGCTACGACGGATGCTACAGAAGAAGCTCTCCGCGTGATGAGGTTACACCGGAGATTACAGAAGAAGGGACAGAGGCTACGACGGAGGCTACCGATGAAAGCGGCAGGAATGGAGCGGCAGTGCCGGAGGCTACAGAGCAAAGCGGAGGCTGCCAAAATGGCGAAGATGACCCACGGCTGGCGCGAACATTGAAGAGCGTGCGCATGTAAAGGAAGAAGTAGACGTTGGCATGAATATCATATACTGTCCTGTTTCGTACAAGAGGAACCGTGTGTAGTGCGTGTCATTACGGGCTATTGAGCATGCAAGCTCCCTGGTGTTGTTAGAGAGACAATCGTAACAAGCTTGTTAGGTGGGCTAAAGAAATCTAATGATGCGCTAATGTCAAGCACAAGGAAGAATTCGCCCAGTTCCTCCTCACTACGTCAGTTAGGAACAGGGCGATTTCTTCCTCCGCGTTTATCGCGACGTGCCGAAGATGGGTGGCTGGAGCCGAAGTATGCTGCCTTAGCAGCCTTGCAAGGTATTACCATGTAGCAGGTTTTGAGCGTGCTCTACGCTCGCCACGACCAATAGAAGCTCGCCATTTCGGCATATGGTGGATACATTGAGCATGTTTTGTTCACTTTCGTAGCTGTTCTGTGCACAATGTACCCAGCGCTTGACCGCAAGATGCGAAAGGGCTTCCAACAGCAAATCTTTGACAGGTTTTGAAGTATACTTTAATCAAGTCTAATGCTTATTCTGTAGGATACAGAATAAGGTCTGGGGCTAGAAGGGTTAAGCGAAACGAACCGTAAAATTCCGGTGACGAGAGTAGAAGCTGCTGCTATACACGTAGTGCGACCACTAAATGTATTACCCTTCTGCGATTCGATCACTTGTACGTTTGATCGTGGAGGCATCTCAGGTGTTGGTGATCTGGCTTCCACCGCGATGTCAGTGAGAAACTATTGATGCCAATGGTGCGAAGATAACGAGCTGATCTCTTTCACTCCAGGACGACATTCTTGTTGCTTGATCTAATTCTAGAAAA